AATAAGCACTGGGTCGGCCCCGCTTATTACACAAAAGACCACCTTTGTGTCCATAGCTGCTTTTTTACTTCACTATTTCTTGAACAGAGCTTAGCTCCTTGTACTAGATTCACATTCCAAATCGAATCCCAATCAAATTCTGTCAGAAGAAAAATAAAGTGAGACAGACAAAGAGAGCAGAAATGGAAAACGAAACCAATGAAAAACTGGAAATAAAAGGAGTTCCAACACATGAGGGGAAATATGTAGAGTACAATGTACTAGGTAACTTCTTTGAGGTTACATCAAAGTACATCCCTCCTATTCAACCCGTCGGACGTGGCGCTTACGGCATGGTCTGGTACTTCCCTTCATCCATTTTTGTTGCCTTTTTATTGTTACTGGCAGAGACGATTCAGAATTTAGAGTAAACGATTTTTGCTAGGGCGGTTTATTATGTATATACATTTTTAAAATATTGATATAGCTTTTTAAAGATCCATTTCTGTTGTTAGAGTAAAGTTGTGGTGTAAAGTTTAAGTCTTTTTAATGAGATTGAGAAACAAGTGAAGGTTTACTATAGGATTTATGTTAATTGGGATGACTATGGTGACTTTGATTTAATTTGGATTGTATTCTTGTTAGTTTTATTAGGTGGGAAATTGACAATTTGTTGGGTTCCCCTGCAGTTGTGCTACAAATTCGGAGACGAAGGAGGAGGTGGCAATCAAAAAAATTGGGAATGCATTTGAAAATAGGATTGATGCGAAAAGGACCCTTCGCGAGATCAAGCTTCTTTCTCACATGGATCATGAAAATGTATGCTCAAATTAATTACTAAGTCGTATAGTTGTTTTATGTTGGAGAATTCATGTCCTTTGCCTATGCTACTTTCAATACTCCCTCAGTCCCATTTTATATGATGTTGTTTGATTGTGCACTAAGTTTAAGAAAGAAAGAAAGAAAAACTTCTAAAATTTGTAGTTTGAAACAAATCATATACAGTTGTATGACTATAAATCATCCTATTAAAGGTAAAATGAAAACTTTACAAGTTCTAAATATAAAAATGTGTCATTCCTCTTGTACCAAGTGCTAATGGAATCTTTAGTACTACTTAAATGTGACAATCAAATATTTGAGGATATATAAAAGACTATGTTTTTATTCTATAGTTTTTGAAGTGGAGCTTATAGCTTTTACCTCTATTGTTCTTTTTTAGTAGAATCTGTAATTTGGTTACAAAAATTCGTTGATTTTGATATTGGTATACTGGTTGTGCAGATCATCAAAATAAAAGATATAGTAAGACCACCAGACAGAGAGGAATTCAATGATGTGTACATAGTGTATGAATTAATGGATACCGATCTGCATCAGATAATACGCTCTTCGCAAGCACTGACAGAAGATCACTGCCAAGTATGTATGCCTCTCTGCTTATTCTCATCTTTCATTAAATTTTATATAATGTAGCGTTCACTCTGTAACAGTAACAAAATCCAAATTTTCATGTGGATGGCATCTCTTAATAACTTGTTATATGTGCAATTATGATTGATGCTCGATGAAAAGATCAAATTTGCTGGTTATGCTGATTGCTGATTCTTTGTTTGATGATGTGCTATTAAGTTTCACACTGTCGAATTGAGTAGTTTAGCCTGTCACATTTTCAAGTTTAATAGACTGGTACCTGCATGATTGGTGCTGCTTAAATTAGAAAAACACTCTCTCCATCCCATGTGTTTTCGAGTTATTTGATAGAATACTGAGAACGAGATAGAACTTGGAAGAACGTGAATATTCACTAGTATACAGCTAATTCCATGCTCCAAATTGTCCTTTAGGTTTGGAAAAGGCCACAGAAAATGAAAGTTCATTTCATGTTATATATGGTGTTTTTAGCAGAAGTTCACTAGTATACAGCTAAACCCATGCTCCAAATTGTCCTTTTAAGGTTTGGAAATGGCTCTATGGTATTTTCATAAGAAGCTGTTCAATGAACGACTCCTATGAATGTTGGGGGAGCAAAAGGCGGAGTAATTTTGGCTACATCTGATAGATAATTATCTTTTCACAGGAGACTCGGGTTTTTGGGGATATTCAGGTTGAGTGAGGATGGTTCCGGAGGAGGCAGTTGTTATTCTGTTTCGCATGATTGGTTAGATTAGCATGTTAGCTGTCTCGTCTTGTATTATAGACTTCCTTTGTGAGATTTATTAATCCACTCCCTCTCCTTATAGTCACTGTAAACTATCACCTAACATTTCCTTAGGATTTTGGATGTGATATACTTTTTCCTTTGCATTCCTGAAATGAAATACCACTTTTAACAGCCAGAACTAACCTCTTTCACTAGCATGTTTATTAGCTAATTTGTTATTGTGTTTAAGGTAGATCTATTTGGTAACCTCCTGTCTCTGATACTATTTCTAATTTATGTTTGTTCTAACACAATTCTGTGACGCCTAGTAACGCATAGGGGAAAATCTGAGAGCTCAATCGGGTTCCTTCTGAATGAGATTGATTATGTTAGCTTGCATACTGAAGGCTCACACTGGATATTTGACCTAAGTTCAGCTTTTCTTTTTCTTTCTTTTATGTTGTTGGCGATGGCACCACAATCTGTCAGTTATTATACCCTCTGCTATATAATGGTTATAACCCACAACACTAAATAAAGAACTACTTATTGCCTGACCATGCTTTACCATATTTGTGCTGTCATAATTTATCCAATTCAGTTCGGCCAATTTCGGTTGAATCCATCTTAATTTACTTGTATTGCTTGATACTGAACTTCTCAATGTCTCATAACTAGAAGTTGAATAATGGTAGTTTAAATTACTCTAGTCATAATATGATGTTCTTCGGCAAATGTCCTCACTTGAACTATTTGAACTGTAATTATTAAATAATTAACTTAACATATTCACACTAGTTTTAAATGTATGTGCTAGTTAAAATCATTGAGCCGAGGGTCTATCTGAAACAGTCTCTCTACCTTCACAAAGTAGGAGTAAGTTCTGCGTACACACTACCCTCCCCAGACCCCACATGTGGCAGTACACTGGTTTTTTTGTTGTTGTTGTTTGTGCTAGTTAAAATCATGTTTATTGGCACAATGAAAATATTCACTTTCGTTTGGCAAAGTCTTCTAACATCCTATTTATGATGTTTTTCAGTACTTTCTCTATCAATTATTACGGGGACTCAAGTATGTACATTCAGCTAACGTCCTCCACCGGGATCTGAAACCTAGCAACTTACTACTCAATGCAAACTGTGACCTCAAGATTTGTGATTTTGGGCTCGCTAGAACCACTTCAGAGGCAGATTTTATGACAGAGTATGTTGTTACCCGATGGTACAGAGCGCCTGAGTTACTACTCAATTGTACTGAATATACTGCAGCAATTGATATATGGTCAGTTGGTTGCATTTTGATGGAACTCATTAAGAGAGAACCTCTTTTCCCAGGCAGAGACTATGCTCAGCAATTGGGGCTTATCATTGCGGTATGTCTGCTTTCTTATAAGTAATTGTATAATGTCATTTAAGTATTATACTCTTATTAGCAAACATTAATGCTCATCTATAGTAGAACTACTTTATTGTCATTTTTATAGACCAATAATATAATCTGTTTATTGCACTTATCCATAAATAAGCTATTAGGTTCGCCGGAGGATTCTGATCTTGGATTCCTAAGGAGTGATAATGCTAGGAAGTATGTAAAGCAGCTCCCTCGAGTTCCAAAACAGCCCTTTTCCCAGAAATTCCCGGATGTGTCTCCTTTAGCTCTTGATCTTGCTGAAAGGATGCTGGTTTTTGATCCAGCTAAACGCATAACTGGTATGCTCATAAAAAAGTTTTACTTTTCTAAACTTGTTGGCTCTGACTCATAAAGTCTTATATTGATTTCAATGTATCTGCAACTGCAGTTGAGGATGCATTGAATCATCCATTCTTGAAAAGTTTGCATGAGATAAACGAGGAACCTGTTTGCGATTCTCCTTTCAGCTTTGACTTTGAACAAGCATCTCTAAGTGAGGATGACATAAAGGAGCTCATATGGAACGAAGCTCTAAAGTTTGATCCTAATACAATGAAGTGATTTCATTCTATATTTCCTCAATTGCTGGTTTGATCGATGTATTGAGTGTGATTTGGCTTTGGCAGGTTAGCCAATTGTAACATCTGTTTTATTTTTCTTTTAAGCTGAGCTTGGAGAGTTTGGTTTGCCTCCTTTCATACACGGGGTTGTTATAGGGGAGTGCGTGACGGGGTAGTTATTGGATTCATATTCTACTCAAGAATCCTTCCCCCCCTCAAAATTTTCTGTAAAAAGTAAGTTTTGTTCTGTTTACAAACCTGAAACTCTTTGTAAACAGATCATGAGATAGAAAACCAATAAGTATGAAAAAGAAAAAAAATCGATTATGCTTTTGTGCATATGTTGTATAAGAAACCGACAGTACCAGTGATATTGATACTTCAATTTTGACTTGCTCTTTTGCCTTGAATTGGCATTAATCAGTTACTTTCTCCCTTCATTTGGGGAGGAAAATCCTGTGTTCTCTATCTTGATAAGGACAGAGACGACTTTCCTTCAGATTTGTCGGGTAGATAATTTTTCTACAATTTGTTTATGGGATTAGTGTGTTGTGTATGTGATGCTGCAAATTCTCCCATTGCTTTGGTCCCAATGGTCCAATTCCTTTCAACCTGGAAAAAGAATTTGTAACATTATGCTCACATTAGTAAATTGATAGTATTCCTTTCACATCTTCACATAGTTGTTCCTTTTCATGGCAGCCATTGAGCAAATATAGCAATCTTTACCAAGTAAAACAAGCTTAAGCACAATTGTAGCAGATTGTTGACACCGTCCTATATTTCAGATATGGTAAAGAGCTGGATTTGGTAGCTCCGCTGCATAAACGAAAATATACCCACTTGTAAAATATATGATGCTGCAAATTCTCCCCTTTGGGGATAGGGGAAAGTAGCCCCAAAGGTTTGCTTTGGCAATCAGTCATATTATTTTCCATTGCATGCTTATAAATTTCTTGATATAAGCAGACCTTAGCTGGCTTCATTTTACAAAGAGGTCTGCAGTAACAAAGCTAAAACTGTCTCTACCTATACGAAGACTCATCAACTATCACATGAATTTCCAAGCCTTTAACATTTTTTGGGATCTCAACTACAGAATAGAGGACCTCAACAACGATTATATGGTTGTTTACAGGTAAGCCTTAGGACTGCAGAGGTTCAAAATAAGGAAAGTTTCATATTCACGCTAGATCGAATCTAAAAGCCCATGACTTAGAATTTAAGAACTTGTTTTGGTTGACTTCCTCGCTTCCCCATAGCCTTTTCAAGACCTGAATGAAAATCATCAAAAGGTGCCACTTCCAACCTGTATATAAAAAAAGAAGCAATTCAACTTGAGATCTCAGCATCAAAGATAATATTACTTGCA